GCATTTATTCATAAAATCAGATTTGCTCCAATTTACTTTTTTTTTGTGGCGCAGTGTTGTTTTTTTTCTCTTTACTGTTGTCTCCAATTTTAGCCTCAAGCCCCTGACTTGTATCCTTGTTTCTCTTCTCTACTTTGTCCCCAAGCCCTGCCTGCAAAGCAACATCTGGACCTCTCTCCATCACCATTATAAAACCACTGTAAAAGCAAGCAAAATTTCACCTTTCCTTACCCCAGGTGTCTACCGTAAAAACCACGAGCGCACTTCCTCATCTCCACTCATCACCTCTCTCCCCTCCAAATGTTCGCGACCTGGCCAACCAACAAAGAATCTACGCCATTTAGTTCCTAAATTCACTTGCCCCAGCCCACCCCCTCCCCCTCTCCCCTGTGCCCCGAACGAAACCCGCTACACATCACCCCCACTTCCACCCACCACATTCAAACTCTCGCCAGCCGCCGACAGAAAAAATTTTTTGCATATCGTGTTATGGCACTGGCCGAACCAAGTTGCTGCAGTTGCCGTGTGTGCATGCGTCGTGATATGGTAGGAGGGGCGGGGGATGGGGTTGTGTTTGTCGGGGGTGCATCATCCCGTGCACATTGCTGGGATGGGTAGCGCCTCCGCTGCAGTCGCGCGTGGCAGGTACATGTCTGAAAAGCATGTGCAAATGGCTGGCACGCGCTGCATAAGCCGGTCTGCGGTGCGTTGGCTGTCATGTCGGTTTTTATGCATTTTTTACATCTATGCAATGCAGAAAACGCATAATGACGAGGGGTTATCTGTGTGTGTGTGTGTGTGTGTGTGTGTGTGTGTTTCTGCGTGTTCGTCTGTACCGGTTTTTCATCTCGAGACCTGTAATGGCTACGGGGCTGGAACTTTGGGAACTTAATCTACATGCATGTATGGGCCCCATCCTCAAAATGGGCGCTCTTACCCGCGTGGTGCCCACGTACGGGCCCGCCAAAGTTTTGTACGGGCAAGCTGCTAACTCAGGGACCGGAGAAGCTGGAAAGCTGAAACCTTAAAGGGACGTTCTCCGTCCCCGTGGGTCTTAATGAGTTTAAACCCAGCCCTCGGGTATGCATGGTACCCACGTACGGGCCTGTCAAAGTTAGTAAGTTGCTAACTCGGAAACCAGGGAAGCTAGACAGCTGAAATTTTAAAAGACTGTTTTCAGACAGTCCCGATGGCCAGTCTCAGTTCTCTTGGCTAGAAGTATTTGCCGAAAAAACCGGTGCCGGTAGCGACAAAACCGACGGAGAACTATGCAAAAACGCATCTTTGCACTGGCAGCAGGTGCGCTGGTCATTTGGTTCTTTCAGGGATGGCTGGTCAGTACCGGCAGGATATGCCGCCACCGGGCGGCTATGCGAAGTTCAACTGGTATCGCACTTATCCAAAAGTCTTCTGGAAAGGTAACGCGCATTTTGCACCGGTGCAGCAGTAGAACAGGGAGGAATGGAAGGGAAGACCAGGAAAGCAAGAAGTGAAAAGAGATAGTGGAACAGCATATGTTGTAAAAAAATGTTCAGGAGATGTAATAAGGACCTGTGTGAAGGCTGAATGTACCCTAAGCTGCAAACACAGACAGTATTCGGTGTGCACTGGGGTGAGAATCGTCAGTGCAGCCCCGAAGCCTACGCATATATGTATGTGCAGTTGGTGTGCATGCTCTCTGCATACTTCGATCACCCCGGTTCTGCGGAAGCTATGAAGTTGAAATTTTGGCAGCAGCACTGTTTGCCACCGTAGGCTTCCGGGCATAAAATGAACGTTCACGTGCCCCTGCTCAGTTTTAAGCTGTATTTGTAGCGCTCTGGCGGTAGTGCTGGATACGTGCCGTGTGATGGAAGTTAGAGAAGGGCCCCAGAAACGTTTGAGGGCGATACTATAAGCAGCAGCAGCAG